AACTGATTTTATTACCATTATAGTATATAAACTAAAAATTTTCAATTCAAATAATATTATTTATAAATTATAAACAAATATATTTATAGCACCCTAGAGGAGTATTAAAATAGAGTTAAGGGGCAATTTGGTAATTACTCCTCCCGGTAAGTAAACTRCAGCATACTATAGAATTTTTTTTCACTTAATAGAAGAGTTTGCCCCCGCGYTAATATCTAAAAGTCGGCACCTCTGAGTGTAGCTACAAGCTACTTAAAAGAAGCTACATCTTACTATTACATAGTTCATAGTGTCGAATTCAACAATTTCATAACAAAATTATGATAACAATAAATTATCAACAATTTAAAATTAAATAATTAATCGATTACCTATGTATAACCATTGGTTATAACTTATAAAAATCATTAATATAGTTAATGTCATTGGAGGTGTTTTAGCTTGTGAGAGCCCTAAGCCCTTATATAGTTGTAAGTTCTATGGTATTATAAGAGTAAGCCCGTTTGGCCATCATATCCCCATTACAATAGGATCGTCTTGGAAAATATTTATATGATTCAAATATATAACTTACTCTTAAAACCATACACTTATAAATATTCGTACGACTGTACGGGCGGTTCTAATTTTATGCACTATTTTAAATGATTTAAGATGTTTGATGAATAATTGTATAAAAACTATAAAATAGATGTAATATAATATAGTCTTGGACTTAYAACTTGAAAAGTTAGACAGTTGGACTGGATGGTTTGGATGTTGACAATGTTTACAATTCATTCAATTTTATAATACATGTATATTAATAATTAATAATATTACTATAATTTTCAAATTTTCATATACATATAKGCTTCATATAATTATTATCTTTTAAACTTATTATAATAATTATTCATAGACTGTCGCGTATATTTGTAAATATAGACATTATTCTTTCACTAAGCTTAATTTTTCAAAAATTTAAATTTAAAAAAAAGACAAAAAATTGAGGTGAGCAATAATGCATTGGCATTAATCATTGATCTATAGGTATGAGCATTGATTGCAGGACCGCTAGGATGTTTGGTAAATACTAAATCACCCTAACGGCTAACTGGCTAACATATAATATATGTCTGTAATCTGTACATTTATATTATTATAATATTTTATTAATGTAATACTCTGTAATAACATCGGTAACATTTTTTATTTTATGATTTTTATAACTTACATATATAGGTACTGTAAGTCTGTAACTATATAGTTTCAGATTTCTAAACGACAAAATGTCAACATTTTGAATAAAAATAATTCTAGGTAAATTGCAAAAGAATATCTATGAATTCGCATAAAAATCCCCTCCTTAGTTATAACCTTAAAATTTAAATACTTTTAATACTAGGTATATATATATATATACACATTACAGTAAACTACTTGTCCGAAATTTAATTTCTATAGATCATATTTTTCGATCTGAATGATTTTCTGCTTCGGAATATGAAATTAAAAATTGTATGCTGTCTTTCAAAATAGTAAAAACTTAAATTATGATGATAAAAATGAAAAATTTTTYATATACATATAAATTATAACTATTATAYTTATTTATGTATTTAGCCTATATTTAGGGTAATAGGGACAATAGGGTGTCATCATATTCACTCTTATTTTTAATGTAACTGCATAAAAGGTGAACTGGTGAAAATAAATTTGCTATGTTCCGCGATTGTAAGAATGAGACAACAAATACGGGTACTTAATTGTGTACCTATCTATAGTCTATAGAGTATCGTCACAATCTACAATTTACTGTAATTAACGTTTAGAATTTAAATGCATTTCCGATGATAAAATATATTTATATTACATTTTTTGTCAATAAACGCGTCTTATATTATACCGAAATATTCTGCAGTCTCCAGGCTCAGACGACTTCCGCAAGACTCGTCTTTCACAATATTCTGTTCACGGTCGCAATATAATAATTATAAGTTGTAGATGAATTTAGTCGATTTAGCGAAAAATAAAATTTCGAAATAAATTTATTTATAGCGATCTCTTACATACATTATAGCGGYAGTGGTGTACGTGTACCGGTGTACCTATATACATCTCAATTCACGAGGAGGGTGTTAGGTGCTTAAATTACCCTCCCTTTTATTTATTATATCTTATATTTTTTACGACAAGTATATTATAGATTTAAAAAAATATTCTAATGTACTTCTGAATATATATTATTGTATGTAAACATTTTTAACACAACATTTTTCATTAAAATATTTGTATACGCCGTAACTGCATCGCAGTCATTTGATTTTAGAGGGACCCACTTTTTGGACTTACTTTATAAATAATATATTACAATTTATATTGTGCACAAACGGTTACTCCGTTACTCGGTAATCACTCAAAAATATTGTTATTTGTTGGCGTATATGGAAATTTAAGAAATTAATTTCGGGGGAGGGGGAATTGAATCCCCCCTAAATACACCATTGCTGAGCCACATTGCATTGCAACAATCAGAAATAAATATTAACATATTTATTCAAAAAAAAGTGTGTCGCGATTTGGAAAATAAATAAACTAATATTATTATAATGTCATGTACACACAATGAAATAACAAATTTATTGAGCCTGAGTGTTACTGCCGACCGCTACGTTCCTCAAGATTTCAACTTTCAAGTAATGTATATTATTTTTATTTTTGACCTGCATTTATATTGTGCATTTGTGCTTAATGTAATTTGTTATTACAGATTAAATATTTTATCCCAATAAATGATAAATAAAAGGTAAAAAAAATATTATAACAAACAACAATATTATACTTTAGCGCTAGACCGTACGGCGCGGCATGCCATGCGTGTTTTGAGTTTTCCCTCCAAAAGGTGGGCAACGTTACAATAATTATTAATTTTATTGTACGTACTTCCAACTCTGTTGTCTGTAGTTTTCTGATCACTTATTCACTTATTAGTTATTATTCACTTATTAGTTATAAGTTATTGTCTTATTGCACAAAAGTATAGACAATAGAATTTTGCTTAAAGTCTAAGTCCAAAGAATCTAAAACAACAAGTTTGAAGTTACTGTTATGACATAAAGAACTGATTAAGATCCGATCAATAGTATTTATAATAGTTCACTTAAATCTATGGGCACTAAATATTGTTGAAGGGACCATTACAGCTCAATAATTGATTCATTAAATGATTGTGGCAATCCGGCATTAGTCGAGTTAATTATTTCTAACCCAAACGCAATAAATGTATGTGACAACGTTACCAACGGCGGAATCGTTACAATATTTGTAATTTTTACAAAATTTGTCATCGTCACACTATAGTAATATCCTTAGTAATATTATGTTTCGTGAACAGTGGAAAATGCCCAAGTCCAGAGGCCAGACAGACATTGGTCCTCGTCTCATGTATCGACTATAATATATTGGTAGGATGATCAATTTTATCGTCCGAATATTTGGATAAAATACATTTTTAAGTTAAACATATTTTCGATTTTAAACGGAACCAGTGGTGTGTGGACCTTGGCGGCTTGACCATCAGTCAATCACTCTTCAATCCTCGGCAGAGGGGGGTCGAAGATCAACGTTTCGCAAGTGGCCGCGTCGCCGCTGCCACCACGGGCAATTCCAGAATTCTGAAAGGGGGGGACGCGCGCGCGATACGCTGCCGTCGTCGGGTTGGCAAGCCTGTCGGTTGGCCCGCGGTGGTACCAGGCTGTTGTCGATTTGTTTTGATTATCCGATAATGTGAAAAAATGTTTTTCTCGTTCCCGTAGGGCTACAGACCTACAACTTACTGTATAGTTTTCATAGGTTTTCGCTTTCGSGTCGTTGTTCGCGCTCACCCGCGCGTTATCCGACGACAGCCGCCACTGCCGCCGCCGCCGCCGCCGCCGAATACAACGACGACGATCATCGCCGCGACGACGACGGCGACGCCTCGCTGACGAGTGTGCCGACAGTTTCCGTATCCCGTGCTCCATTCGTTTCGTTTTCGCGCCCATTTGCCATGTAAGGACCTCCGGCCAAAAGCTCCCCGGCGTAACGGATAGCGTCTCGCCTGCGAAGGACTTCCACCCAATTCTCCGGAGCAGCCCAAGGTTAGGTCCGCTGGTTCACTGCCGAATATTATGCGTTTTGGCTCGACCGCACTCGCCGTCGATCAAACACAGAGTAAGTGTATACTGTCACCGCCGTTGGATTTATCCTATCTATGCCGACATGCGGTTCAGTCGTAACGGCCGTAAGTCAGGACCGCAGAACAGTTTGTGACCGGTATCGCTGGTTACCCCAACCAAGTGATAGGGGAGACCCGAGTACCCGACGAACTCGACACCCGCGCAGTTCACCTCACGGTAACTCGATTGCGTTTTTGGGAAATATTTTGCCCCTCCCCACCACCTCAAGTCTTGTGACAGCCCGTCTACAACCCAACTCTTGTCTTCTGTCTTTAGACGATAGATTCTATGCTTGTATTGTTTGTAACCGTCTATATTAATCATTTAATATTCTGTATGTACCCTAAAATATTAGACTATATATTTTTTGTAAACTTACAGCTTCATTTTAATTACCATGAACTTTTATGATCAAATCATACGTTAGTCTCTTATTACTTATGTTTGTTTTTCTAAATTTGTATTCAAATCAAGTATTTTTTTATTATAAAAATAAACAATTTTAAATATCAATGCATTTTGATAGTCTCCTATAAAGTATAGACATAAAATAATAATTTATAATTTTGATGGGCCAAAACTATTGGTATTTGAGGTATGACAATAGAATGTATTATCCTCATTCAATGTATTTTTAAATTAATTCTTGTGAAGTAGGAAGTAGAATTTTAGTAGTTTAGTATGCTAGGATTAAAGTATAGSTAATACTCATTAGTCATATCTTATGAAATATGTCAATAGTGATACTTATTAGCTTTTACTATTGTTTTGAGTGACTGAAATGTAGTAAACAAGTAAAATTAAAATTGGTATAAATGCAGTTTAGTCCCCCCTCTGCCAATTTGATATATTTTTTTTTTATCAAAACTTCTGTAACTCGTTGAGTTAAGAATCATGGTTCAATTAGAATTTGTCGATTTTACTTACTTTTGAAGAAGTTATAGCCTTTCAAATTTTACGATTTTATGTTTATATGAATGTGCTGAACACTGCTTTATAATTCCGTCCAGATGACCTCGAGTTTGGTGACCAATGATCAATAGTTGACTCAGAATTCAGTTTCTAAGTTGTCGTGGTATAACGCCATAACAACTTATTTATTTACTTTACTTATTTTTATGCCTAGGTTGTTGTTACTTACACGCGTTGGTCACGCACAGGGACAGCATAATCTAGTTAATTTGGGCACTTGGCGTAATTACAATTTTAGTGKTGTGTATTACAATCTAATTTCCATAATAATATAATATTACCTAAAATCATATCTAAAATTAAATGATTATTAGGTATTTTGCCTCCGGTATTGCCCCTCTTCAAAGGTTGGCTATTTTAGGGGGTTTGGGTGACCGTAGCCACTTTATACTTAAGTTACTTTAACTGGCCATCAAGTCTAGAGATCAAAGCCAGAAGAGGAGCAACTAGTGAACAAGTAGGGTGCAACTACTTATCATACTTTGACTTGCTCTCTTTGCAAATTTCAAAAACCATTATTCGAAAAAAGTTAGAACACCAAAATAGAAAAAAACAGTGTATTAAAAGCATGGTATATTATAAGCGTATTTGCTATGCGTTAAAAACGAGATATTGCTAAATTTCAAAGACCATAACTTTAAAACTAAGTTTGAACAACAAATTCTGATCGCACCATTATTATAAGCTCAACGAGTTACATAAGACTTGATCAAAAAAGTTCAAAATGGTAAGGTGAAACTAAACTGCATTTGTTTCTTAAAATTTCTGAAGTTCATATATTTTAAATTAAACGTGTCATTTTTTTCATTAAATTGTTTACCGTTGTTAAGTTTATAAAATTAAATATTTACTAGATGAGCTATAAATAATTACCTAATTAGGTATTTAATTAGATACTTTAATTTTTTTATAATCCATTTATATATTATTTTTGTCAAATTAAATCAAAATGTATTATTATACCTACCTATTATAATTTTTAATTGTTATGATAAATTCTCATAATGTTAAAAGTAGCTTTTATTTAATTGTAGATACATGTATAGGTACAAATTGAATTTTAAATTTGATCTGAGAATTCTGTACATTTGCTCTTTATGGAAAAAAATTATACTTCACTTATAAATTCAGTTGAATAACTATACACATTTATTTATAAATTAATTAGTAACTACACTAGTTCTTTGGTTAGTATTTTTGAGTTTCTTGCTACTTTGTTGATGATCTCATCTGTATCAATATTGAAAAACAATTTTTTTCTTTTGACATTACAATATATGAATGCCTCAAGTTACAAGGTAATTACTAAAGCTTGGATAGTGTTATCAACTTAGAAAGCCCATGTATTTTAACGAGTCAAAAATGATGGTGCAATTCGAGTTTAGAATTTGCCTCTCAGATTTGTCAAACTGCTGGTTGTGTTACTATTTAGATTCATTAGACTCATCCAACTTTCCATCCCAAACCCAAATTTGTTTCTCTTCCATAAAGTTGACTATTTCCACCCATTAAGGTTAAAATCTGCTCCTCAAACAGAGTTGAGAGGTTTGTAAGACGGTACTAAGACCTCAGGTTGTACAACTGGAGTCATTAAGCGTAAAAAGTTATTGTCCTAAATCAATTGGCAAGATTACCTACCTATTAATCCTTAACACTTTGCATGCAGAAAATAAACAGAAAATCGTGGGAACTTTAGAATATATAACTTTAATAACCAAATATTTTCTCAAGTTATTTTTCACACCATTATTTTTAATTTGTTAGTTGTTAATATACTTAGTCGTAAGGTAAAAAAAAAGGTTCTCTGATAAAGTAGTTTTATACTAAAAAATGTAATAAATAAAAACCCTCCTAGCTGTTGCGATTGTCTTGTTTAAATTTTGGATTTTGTTAGGTTGCTTCTTAATATCTGTTCTTTATGTATTTCAAAGTTGAAAAAAAAAGGTTGACTACAAGAGGCTGGCTCACAAGGAAAATTCCCGGAGTCCGGCTGCCGAAACCCTTGGGTGCATGTTTTAAAAATAAAAACTTATCACTGTGTTAAATATAGGTATTAATGTATTATGTTATTTAATAATATTACCATCTTAAAACAAAATAATTTGCTTGCAGAAGTATTAATTAAATCATTCCTTTAAAATAATGAGAATTTCTGATAAGAATTGTATTTAATGTTTTTGGTAGTTAACAAGTGAGGAAAAATTAGTTAATTACTCTATTATCATTTGAATAGTCTAATTACAGTTATGGACATTTTAATTTTATAATAAATAGTACTATTTCTTATTATAGTAAGTAGTATAATACATTAACACAATTAGTATTAACCTTTTTAAACAGTTTTAAATCTTTAATATGTTATCTTTTGTTTAGAAAATGGACAATGACAAATCWAAGATGTCTAAGACATTATTAGATAAATCTGATGAAATGGACATAGATGAAGATCCATGTTCTGATGATGATGTTGACAATGGTGCTCCTATGTTAGATGATGATGATGATGATGAGGATGATGATGATGACGAAGATGATGATAATGAAGATATGGATGATGATCCAGATTATCAAGAAGATTGTTCACGTATTTCTACAGAAGCAGCTTCTATATCAGTTGATGAAACTTCTTCTAATCAAACTCCAAATGATATTGCTGTTAAGACAGATGGTACATTACTTTCATACATATTACATACATTTCTAAGAAATATATTACTMAATTGTACTAAAAATGTATTTTCAGAAGGTAATTTCGAAGAAACAACATCTTGTTCACCTATTCGGAGTGCTGTTACACCTATAACATCTTATGATAGCCCTTTACAAATGAAAAAATTAAATTTAAAAATTAAAAGATGGAGAAGGTATTAATAAATTTCTATATTTTAGAGGAATAGTGATAAATAAGTATAACTTAATTTTTGGAAATTTTATTATTAATAGGGAAGATGCAGAAGGTAAATCTCCAAATGTTTCTCGAACTGATGAAAATACTCCTCCTACTTCATCATCGGTCGATCCTACTATTGATGATAGAAATGTATTATATCAAGAGACTTGGTAAATAGTTTTTGATGTTTATGTTTTGATTGTGTAACTAATATTTTTATTTTCAGGCCCGGAAAAGTATGTGCATTTTGTAATTTGGGAGAACGAAGTCAACTTGGACAAGGATCTCTTCTAAGGTTAGACTGGGAAAAAGATTTTAAATCAACATTAGATGATTTTACCAAGCAATTAGTTACTAAACAATTAACTCCAATGCCATTACAATCACCAACTGCCGAAACGGCACCAATTATACAGTATAGAAGGCAAAAATCTGCTGCTAAATTTAAGTAAGTTTTAATTTCCATATTACTTATTGCTTAATATATCTTAGTTATTATCAATCACCTACCTRTGCTAAAATATCTTCAAACAAATCATTAAAAAAATGTTTTGTATAATATTTTTTATTTATTGTTTTTAGACAACAACAATTTTCAACCTGTAGTTTTGAACCTGTGGATGAGCTTAGCGTTATTGGTTATTTGGATGTTCCTGATTTAAATATGGTTTATGAACAATATGAATCAAATGGATATGTTTATGTACATCAGTTTTGTGCTACATGGACTCAAGGTGTAAAATGTGATACATCTGATTCATTGGAAAATGTACCTGAACTTATCTTAGAGAGCTTAATGCGACGGTGTTCTTACTGTGGTCACTTAGGTGCCAGTGCTCCATGTACATACACTAATTGTTTGAAATTTTTTCATTATCCTTGTATTTTTGCTTCTGCATCGTTTCAAGAGATGAGTGTACCAGCTTTAATTTGCAATTCTCATCTTGATCATGTTCCATTAATGGGTAATTATAATATTTAAATTATGGATGAAATTTGTGCTAATTAATTATTTTATTAAAGAACTTTCTGCTAATGTTGCTTGTGGTATTTGTTCGACTCTTGGAGATGTTTCTAATTTAATGATGTGTACAGCATGTGGTAATCACTACCATGGTGTTTGTGTTGGATTAGCTCTACTCCCAGGTTTGAAGAAATAAGTTATTATTTATTTTAATTGTTTTTTTATTGTTAATATTTTATATTCTAAGGAGTGAGAGCTGGTTGGCAATGTGGTAACTGTAGAATTTGTCAAGTTTGTCGGCAACCAGCCGAACAGGCTAAAGTCATGTTATGTGAAGGTTGTGATAAAGCCTATCATCCTGGTTGTTTAAGACCTCAAGTGACAACTATTCCTAAAATTGGATGGAAATGCAAAGTAATTGCAATATCAATTCATTTTAATAAATTATTAACTTGATAATATTATAGTTTTGTTAAATGCATATGAAGTTAATTGATTATTTTTAGAATATCATACAATACTGACTATTTTACTATAATTTTGTTTCAGTGCTGTCGTGTATGCACTGATTGTGGTTCTCGTACCCCTGGTGCTGGGTTATCTTCTCGGTGGCATGCCCATTACACAGTATGTGATTCTTGTTATCAGCAACGTAATAAAGGTTCTTCATGTCCACTTTGTCATCGAGCTTATCGAGCTGCTGCTCATCGAGAAATGGTTCAATGTATATCATGTCGAAAATACATACATGGTGCTTGTGATCCAGAAGCTGAATATATAACTAGTCATAGCAAAAGTTCAGCATCTGAGTATATGTGTCCTTTATGTAAAAATGCTGTACAACAACGTCGTGATGGATATGAAGAATTTGGAGACTCGAATAGTTCAATAGATGTTTATCAACCTGAACATGATTCAGAGTTTAAGGTATTTATCTTAGAAAATTGTAATTGATTAAAAAATGCAAAATATTATATTATTTTTAGAGCAATAAAGATTTTGATGATGGTCGAATGTGTGGGTATGGTTTGGGTAAAGGAAAACCATATGCTGCATGTAAAGTAGCTAAGAAGCGATTGCTTTCTGGATATGCTGGGCGTGCTAAGGGCTTAGGTAAACTTACTGCTGCATTAAAACCCATGTACCAGAAGAAAGGTCAACGGCTTGTTGAGTTTCCTAGAAAGAGACCACGAGGAAGAATGCGAGGCATTTTTGGTGTACCTGGTCTTGGATTACAAGTTAGTAGTTAATAATCTTATTTAAGTTTTAGTATTTTAAGCTCAAAATTATTTTGCAGAGGCCTTTGTCTGATGTAAGCTCCAAAAATTCTTCAAATGACATTGATCCTAACAATGAAAATCGAATTGTTTTATGCTCAGCTAAAGATAAATTTGTACTTGGTCAAGATATATGTGTTATGTGTGGATCATTAGGCACAGACCAAGAAGCATGTCTTATTTCATGTTCTCAGTGTGGTCAGTGCTATCATCCTTTTTGTGTTAATGTTAAAGTGAGTTGTTGCATATAATTATAATTGTGAAGACCACAATTTTTTTAATAATATTATTTTATAGGTAACCAAAGTTATTCTTCAAAAAGGATGGAGATGTTTAGACTGTACAGTTTGCGAAGGGTGTGGACAACGTAATGATGAGTCTAGACTTATACTTTGTGATGAATGTGATATTTCTTATCATATTTATTGCACTGATCCAAAACTTGATTATGTCCCCAGAGGAACTTGGAAATGCAAGTGGTAAGTATTATTTATTAAATTCATTTTTTAAATTAAATTAAATTAAAATCATTTCTTTTGAAGGTGTGCTCAATGTTTGACATGTGGTTCAAATGATCCTGGTTTCAATTGTTCTTGGTTGAATAATTATACTGAATGTGGACCTTGTGCTTCTCGTAATATTTGTCCATCATGTCAAGAATCATATACTGATAGTCAATTGATTATTAAATGTTCTCAGTGTGATAGGTAAATATTGTATTTTTAACGTAATTATATTTATCATTTTATGTTATAATTTTTATATTTCATTTTCTAGATGGCTTCATGGAAAATGTGATAAAATTGAAAACGAAGATGATGCAGAAAAATGTGCAGAAGAGGGATATAGTTGTTTACTGTGCCGTCCTCGTGGGACAGCTCCAGCACATTTAGCACATGTCTCAAGTCCTAAAATCAAACAGAAAACTTCATCTCGTGATAATAGTCCAGATGCTAATAAAGGAATAGTTAATGAATTCTGTATGGATGGTATTTATTTATCTGAATCAGGTGTTCAACATATGAAGGTTCTAACCAGTGGTATAGAAATATCTCATCAACGTAAAAAACGAAAAGATTTGAAAAAAGCACAAATGGAAAAAGAAGCAGCTATTATGGCAGCGATTGAATCTGTTGTGTGCAATAGTAGAGGTAAGATTTTATTTATATGTATATTGATTTTTTTTTTTTGTGTTTTTTAAAATATTTATTACTTTATTGTTGTTTTAGATACTATTAATGATTCTTTAGATCATGATGATGCGTATAAGATGGATTTTGATGATATTAAGGAAGAACCAAGTGAACCCGAACCTATTTATAAAGAAGGAATGATAGTTCAGCCACGTGATGATGGTCGTCCTCCTGAACCACCAGAAGGTTTTAGTATTTTGACATTAGAAACAGGTGTAATGGTTCTACGCCGAAAACGAGTTAGAAATCTTCAAAAATTAGGTATTGGAGGATTTGTTGTTAGAGGACGTATGCCCCGAGCTAAAGATAAAGATGAAGAAAATACTCAGGATGGTGATGGCGAAGACAATAAACCAAGGCGTAAACAAAATCGATGGAAAAAACCAAAGAGTAAAATTGCTGAAAATTACCCTAATTACATCCAAGATGCATTTTTTGGTCGTGATTTGTTGGATGCCTGCAATGTGGCAGCACAGATTTTGGACAGTAGTGAGTCTGAAGAAGTGGAAGAAAAATATGAAGATATTAAAACAATTGAACTTTCTCAGGTTAGATTTTATTAAATTAAAAATGCTGTTCTTTTATGACCTAAAGTTTATTTATTTTCATTACATTTATTAGGCTGAATTAAAAATTATGGAAGACATTAAAGCCAGACAACAAACAAAAGAAGAAGTGATTCAAAAATGCATGAATATTAAGGAAGAGATAATTGAACTCAATGAACAACCAAAAGTTGTTGAAAAGGTAAGATGAATATTTTCTAAACAGCTAAGATGAGAAGGACACTGAGATGAAAAAGTGATATATTTAAGGAGATAATTAATTTAATTTAACTTTTCCAAGTTCTAAAAAATAAAGGTAAATACATTTCCCTGAAATTTTAAACTATATAAATATAATTTATTTTTTATAAAAATTTAAAGTTAAAAATAATAAATAACAACTTGCATACCATGTGCTAAAATGAAAGATTTATTCGAGTTTTTTATCTGTTATGAATGGGTGAAAAAATATAGTTTATGGTTGCTGCCTGTACTTTTTAAATTCAGTAAATAGGTAATTAGTTAAAAATCACTACTTACAGGGAAAAAACTTAATTTTTGTGCTGTTATAAAATACTCTTTCTTAATAGATAATCAATGTTAAAAATATTTTTTTTAAAGTATCACTTATTCTTATTCTCCTTTACACACATACTGTCAAATTATAAAAAATAAACTACTTGACTTTGATTAAACTTTTTACGATCAAAATTGTTCTTATAATTAGATTCACAAAAAGGCTATTTTGAATTTATTCAAAAATGTTTATATTAAATTTAAATTTTCTTATTTTCAATACTAAAAAAAAATTATTATGCATGTAGCACTAGGTTCACTTAATGAACAAAAAAAAAAAAATAAATAAATAAATAATAAATATCAATTTGAACAAAAGTTTTGGCTATCTAGTTGTTTTATACGTCTATGGTTTTATCTCTTAAACCTTGTGTATTGAAATCAATGGCATAACATYGTGCCACAATAATTTAAAAATAAATATATTATTTTATGATAAACAAGTTTGATCTAACAAGGTTGCCTCATTTTAACAAAACATTACTTAGAATGGGTATTAATAAAAATTTTTTTTTTTTACTATTTTTATAGAAAAAAGAAATACTTTCTACAAATGAGAATGATACGTTGAAAGATATTTTGCTGTCAGATAATTTATTAGATTCTATTATGAATGAACAAAGTAGGAATATTAAGACAGAAATGGAAGGTATTTGATTTTGAAATAATCATAAAAACACAAATTGGTATTTAATTTATATTTTTTATATTGATTTAGTTGTAGAAGAACCCGATATAAATGAAACTGGTACTTCAGTTCAAAAAGATGAATTTAGTGAAATTCTTGGTTCACATTTTAATCTTGATTCTATGGTCAGAGAGACAGGTAAATACATTTTTTATTTCCTTAAATTTCCCTATTTTCTAATTCAATTTTTATCTTTCATTTTCATAATTAATAATTGTATATTTTGTTAAATAAATAATTTTTATAATTTATCTCGAGTAAAATGCTGAGTATGCATTTATAAAACTTGTTTAGTTTTGAAATTCATTGTTAGTTAATGATAATCATTAAATTAAAATTTTATTCCAATTCAGGGTTACCAAATATGGATAGTAAAGATGTAGAAGAGATTTTTAAAGTAGTCTTAACTGACGATGCTTCACAAGAATCTCAAGATCCGAATAGCTCTAATATGTTATTAATAAGTAATAATAATATGGGTACCGTACCTCAAGCTCAAAATGGAGTTGTTTTGGTTCAAAATCAAAACCATGTTCCAATAATGTCTCCATCTCGTACAGGTAAATCATGTTAAATACGTTTAAACATTAAAATATACTAATTTTAAAATTTATAGGTGTTCCAACTAATATGTCTCGTGGAAAAGTACCAGCTCCAGCATTACCACCTGTTGTAACCAATATGCCTTCTCCTATCTATCCAGCAATGTCTCCATATCATTCTGAATATAGCAAGTAAGTAATAGTAATTAATTATTAAAAAATATGTTACAAACTACAATATTTAAGGTCAAACCAAACTTTTCTTTGAATTAATGAACTCAAAGAGATATGAACCTACAAGCTCTTAATCATATTTAAATCGAACCGAATTCATTAAATATTTTTATTAAAACCAACGCTTTTATTAAAAAATTATATTTCTAAATATTTTTTATCCTTTTCATTTTTTAAGTTTTTTACTTTTTTGAATGGCAACATAGTTTTTTAATTTCATATTCCAAAGCAGAATATTTTTCTAAAAATTTTGATACATAAAAATCGAATTTAGGACGAGTAGTTTATGAGTTATAAGTATTTAAAGTTAAGACAAGCGGAGTAGTGGACAAATTAATAAAAAAAATAGCTTTATGAATTTATGAAATTTGAAGTATAGGTTACCATTTGAAAATCAAAAGTTGATAGTGGTTTATCTAATAAATATAAGGGTGAAAAAATATAAAAATAATAAACAGTTCAAGAAGAGTGTAAATCTACAATTTTGAAAAAAAAAAAAATTGAAAAAAGTCAATACTTTTTTAAATAATGAGTGTTGTTTGATAAAATAATCACCCTGTATATATATATATATATATTTAGACAAATATTTAATGTAAACATTTCTTTTTTTTAATTTTTAGTAGTCCATCTCAGTTTAGTCCAGCATTTTCTGAACCTCACAGTCCTTGGGTTCAAAATAGTGGTGGTGAAGATAGCTTAGAAGGCGTAGGTTCTCAGTCATCAGCAATAAATACCAGTCAAAGAAATTCTCAAAAAATGGAAGCAGATGAAGCTTTAGGACCTAAAGCTTCAATATCTGCTGTACTTTACGCTAATGTTACTCATCCTGAATGGAAAACCGAATTTCCTTGTATGATAAACATTTATTTTAAATATTTATACTATGTTAAAATTGTTTTTTTTTTTTTAATGTTTAGCTTGGCCTGAAAGATCAAGACAAATATTAAAAAAGTGGAGAACACTGTCTCCAGAACAAAAAAGTCCATTTTTATTAAAAGCAAGAGAAAACAGAACTAATTTGAGACAGAAAAAAGCGCAACAGGTAAGCATTACAGTTTATGCAAAATGTTTATTGAGGAAAATTAATTATGTCAAGCACCATATCATAATGGTATATGAAATCATGGACTAATTTTAGCGTTCATCCTGAGAGCTTAACTATCATTATATCGGTAAAAAATATATTATGTGTTAAGATTATACATGGTATTTTTAAAAGTTCCTCTACATAAAACAAAGCTTTTTATTGGGGCTTAAGTTAAAAATTTATTTGTGTGTGCTTATGTGACTTGGCCAAAGCGCTTTTGGTAATTAAAATGTATGATAAAAATCATCATATTACTTATGTGTTTTAGGCCAATCACAATTTACAGCGTTTGCACATTTTTGGGATTCATTAAAAACAGATAAATTAAAACAATATTGGTTTTATTTTATTGGTTATGTCTAGTTGTTGATAATGTTAAAGCACTAGTAATTTTTACACTGCAATTTTTAGATTTATACAGTTTACACAAATCAAAATATATTTAATACATAGAATTATAGTATTAGGATCCTTGAGTGAAATTATTTAAATGACAAAATATCCTATTTAAGTTACCACATTTTTCTAGGTTTTAGCACTTAGATTATTTCTTACTTAACACTTKTTGAAAATATTTTATAAATACCATTTTGAATAATGAAATAAATACATTTAAATAGAACTCCTTGGTAAAAAATCATATGTTTATTTATTTTAGTAAAAATTAGAATAATTCTATAATTTAGTCATTTATTATGGCTATTAAATTATTTTTACCGTGAATAAATTGTTTCAGTTTAATGTAAATGTTTTTATCTGATAACTGTAATTGAATGATTTGAAATTTGTAGACCTAATCATCTGATAGCATTGTTTTCCTCAGCTATAGCTGATAAACACAATTATATTAACAATGATGAATATTGTTATCTGATTTCCTCTATCTTAAGTTTTTTCTTATCTAATTGCTAATAATAAGTACACGGTTTTCTTCAAATATTTTAAACAATATTATTTATTTATTTTATTAAACATTTGATTGAAAATTCAACATGTTATTTTTTAATACCGATACAAAAACAAAATTTAATATCCAGCATCTTTAGTTGATATGTTCTCATTTTATTGCTTTTGGGATTTGTTTCTTTAATGGCACCCGTTCTATAACAACACAAACAGGCAGTGAAGGAAGACAGTACCAGTGGCGACAACCGGACCAGTTCAACGTCTAGTGCTACCCAGAGTCCGACGATTAACAATGGAGAGGTGTGTCCCACCAAAGAACTGATGCAACCCGCAATACTAATTGCCGCTGGTGATGGTCATAATAACTCACAATCTCCCCAGCCTTCTGATCTTGAGCCTGAATCTAACCCACCTCAGCAAACATTTCCTACTACTATTCCTACTCACCCATCTACTATACAATATATACCAGTTTTACCCAACCCTCCATCTCCCAATCCTGTTAATTTGCGAACTATTCACATCATTCCTGCAGAGAAGAATTCATCTGAACCAATTCAATATCAATATGTAGCATCGGGTTCTTCTGAAAGGGGAACTCTGCATTATCCACCAAATAGTATTCACATAATACAAACAGTTCCATCATTAATAATGTCTAATTCAATATTAGCCACATTAGACACTAAAAATCAAACTGATTCACGTAATAACCTATTACATATAATCACATCACAGCCAACTGGCACAATACGTAATGTACAGTTGGTGAGAAATGAATCATCATCAGCTGGCATTGAGGGCGCTAAAACTAACATAACCGCTAGCAGTACTAACAATTCAGTCAGCACTTCACCACCGCTGTCTGACCAACAAATACGTGTACTAACACCGTCTGAGATAATGCGCACACTCCCGTCCCTTGGTCAAGAGACTTATGACCCTGTGGTGAGCGTTCACTTGCACGTTCTGGGAAATGATTTTCTTTGGATATTTGACTGTTCAGCCTCTTCTTTTTTTTTGTGTTTTTAGTATATTCCCAGCTACTCTTATATTGCTTCTAAATCCATTGATGATCTTTGTATTTACTGTTTAATTATATGAGTTAATTTCTATTTTTATGTGTTAAGACTATAAAATGCTGTTTTTTGTTCAGTTACATTATGGTATATTAACAAAAGTGTTGAATGCTGATTGTTATATTTGTAAATTATTGTTGGTGATTGATTTAAATTTTAGTAATATTAGGTTGACCTTATGCTCAGAAAGTATTAGCCAAAATTCAATTAGCATTGAGTTATGTGTGGTAATTTTTTAAAACCCAGAATTTTTTCAGTTTTAATTTTATTTCACTTCTTTTGAAATATATATTTTATATTAGCAAAGGGGTTTATCAATATATTATTGATAACAATTTAAATTTAACAGTGTATGTAAAGTTATTTTAAATAATAACTTATTTCATGTTTGCATGAGGGTTAAGCCATTYAATTCTATTGGTTTTTTTAATAGTGAATTACATTTTTTTTTAACATAACAATTTTTTAAAAAACATTATTATTGTCAAAATGCTACATTTTTAAAATTTTGTTTATGTCTGAACAATTATTAGTTTATTAGTTTTTAAAAATGTTATGTTATTTCTTTATGTTTATTGATTTGGATTTTTTAAAACATTATGTATAATTTCAAAGTTATTTCATATATTTGGCATATGGTTTCTGATACATTTATTTGTTACTTGATGTAATAACTGCTGCTGATTAGTTATAAATATTAGCATGGTGTTTAGTAGATTAAATTATGTAGAATACAGCTTATTTTTAATTTTATAAGTAGTTATTTGAATTGATTGGTGTATGGATAATATTTAATATACCATATAATTATAAATATTATACATTAATATATTACTTAACAAAAAAACATAGTTAGTGCATTTAATTATATAGGGGTACACAGAAATACATACATTTAAATAATAAATGTGTATGTGTGTAGTATGTACAAAACAAATGGGATTCTGGTGAATTTTCTTCTAAATTTATAAATAATATATATTTCTCACTATCTTATTTGATTGTTTTGTCAGATGCATTAATATATAAAAAAAAAAATAATAATAAATAATGAGCTTTAATTTAATTTATACTTATATTTGTATACTTCATATTTTCAAACTTATTGAGTATTCATTTATTTTTTTAACAACATTTAGAAGTATAATTAACATATGCTAACTTTGTTTTGCTAATAGGATCAAGACAAAATGATATCTCAACAAAGATCCCGTGAAGCTGAAAATGAACGTCAATGGAAACAGTTACAAGCAATGCGACAACAACAGGCTCAAGCTGCACAACAGCAGCAAGTAATGCAAGACCAACGTACTCAAGGAGGTATATTATTTATTGAATTTTCCCTATTGTTATATAAATATTAATTTTTTTATTAAATAGTTTATCAAAGAGTACCAGTTCATCAAAGAAATCTTTCTATTGATACCAATCAATTTACTAATTCTGATCAACAAGTGTTGGTTCATACACCAAATTTGACTACTCAGTTACAAGTTTCTACTAATCAGGTATTTTTAATTCATTATTTTTATATGAAGTATTAGTTAAAATAAATAAGGTAATAAATTCAATTTTGTAGGATGGTTCTTTGACTCCCTTACAAAGTCCCAGTAGTGTAAGTTCTCAACAACAATCTAGATCACCATATCCTTCACCCGTCTTAAAAGTGACGAGGGTTGTAAGTCCTGCTTCAGCATCACCATCACCTCAATACACACGTTCACAGTCAACACCAGGACCAACAGATTTGTTTAGTCCACCAATATCTTCAACTTCTGCAGCTCAACAACAAAGAAATGTTCATTTTAATCCGACATCTCCGCGAGGCCGAGATGATGTATTTTCATCACCTCAAGCTAATCAAGAAATGACAAGACATTTGAGGGAGTTACTTCAAAGGCAGCAGTTTAAAAAAGAAACACCAGCTGATCAACGTATGTGGAATACAGAAGATACACCTAATCAAGAAATAAGCTCTCAAAATGTGTCAAATCAAGATTTTGAAACCCCATCTTCTGGACCAACATTTCGCCAGCCTTTACCTCCAAGTGCTGTTAAGACTCAGCGTATGCCTTTCCAACCAATGGTTACTCCAAATACTCAAATGGTCATTCGGCAACGAGTTCAAGATCATAAATTCCAAGTAAAATATTTTATATCTTAATTAGTTGTTTTATAAATTATTATTATAAATTAAATTTTTAGTTATCAGATCCTCGGTTTCGATTGTTAATACAACAACAACGATCTACTACTACTGGTGCTGTTATCAATAGTAACATGAATGCTCAACAATTTGTATCTGGTATTAAAAATCCCATTACACAACAAGTGTTGACACAACAAAATTCTAGACCTTACGAAATAATGCAACAACAACAGCAGCAGCAGCAGCAACAACAGCAGCAGCAGCAACAACAACAACAGCTGCAACAACAACAACAACAACTGCAACAACAACAGCTGCAACAACAACAACATCAACAGTTGCAACAACAGCAACAGCAACCACCATTTTCAGGTATTTATTATATTACATGTATGTTTTATTTAAAACCCAAAATCTGTCAACACCACTAGCTTTTACAGCCTCCTTTCGTCAAAACTAATTTTAACTTGTTAAAACTAGAATTAGCTTTGAGTCAAATATTTGATTAAAAAAACTAGTTTTCTCTGAAATGTATAGTTATTACTTAGGTAAAACCTAAAATGTGGTGACCATAAGCATTCGCAATGAGTAATGACCGACTGACTATCAAATTTACCAAGAAAATATAAAGGAAGTTAAAGGAATATCTGTAGTGCTGTGTGTAGATATATCAAGCTATTTATGAATTAATCTTTGAGTGTCTATTATTTAGTTCATGGCTGTGTACATTATGTTATTACCAGGGCTCGGGACTTAGAGAATTTGATTATTTTTATGGATTGACTTAAAATGTAGCATAATACTATGGAAGTGTATGTCATGTTATAATACGTTTAATTATGAAGTTAGAAAGTGCTTTTTTTCGCTTGTTTCAGCAATTTTTCAAAAAAATGCTTATTTCCAGTTTTTCTGATTATTTTTGCTTATTTGACCAGTATTTCTACGTTTTTTTAATGTTTTCAACTATTATAAATATCGTTCACATTTCATTTTTGAGAAACTTCCTCGGAAAATCCATAAAATCCTTAAGTCTCAAAAATGAAGTTTAATTTATTTTATAATATAAAGATAAAGATTTATTTTTATTTTGTTTAATTTTTTAATTAGAATTTTTTAGTTTTCTGTTTTTTGATAAATATTTTTGCAAAAATTTAAGTTTTTAAATTCTTATTTGAGTGCTTATAATGATGTTTTAAAGAGCTTTTTTAAGCRCTTATTTTAATGATTTTAAGTGCTTTAAATCCCAAGCTCTGGTTATTATTTATAAACAATTTATTTTTTGTTTTTTTCTTGATCTGAAACTTTTTAACACAATTGAGACAATCCATCTTAATTTAAAAGTTACGTTTGCAGGGCTGCAAGTAGATCACTTTTTTTACTTTTAGTCACTTAATATTTTATTTGTCACTTTTTGTCACTAATTATAGAAATTTCTCACTTTTTTAAATTCAAACGGTTTGAAACAAGTCACGCGTTATGTTTACTTTCAAATTTTAAAAATTGATATAAAATCATATACTCACACTATTGTTTTCATTTAACGATCTATCGATAGGAAATATATTATGAATTATTTAAATAAAATTAATAAATTATTTGCTCCATGTGGAGAGTCATTAAAATTTGATTTGTTGTGCCTATAATTGATGGATTTAAAAACTGTTCCTTCTTGATTGTACATAGTTGAATAACGTGCCACACCTTAAGTTCTATCCAAAAAAAATAAGTAAAAACTAATTCCAACATCAAAAGTTGTGGTTAATTCTAGATTTAATCTCTTAAAATCACTTTTGAATAAAAGAGGTTGTTAAAAGTGAAAACCAATGTTGTCTAGTTAAAACTAGTTTTGACGGATTTCGAGTTTTAAGTAACTAATATATACATACATATTTTATATATATATATATATCATTTCAATTTACTTTCCAGCAGTAGAAAGATCTGAAAGCTTGGACCAAAAATATCAATCCCCAATTAATGAAGTTTCTTCAATAATAAATGATCCTAGTTCAATGTCTCAATCTATTGTTGGTCAAAATGTATCTGTTGGTAGACATAGTGATATATTACAGCAYCAGACTCAGCAAAATTCTATCAATGGTAATATAATCTATATATTATATAAAAATGGAGACAAAAATGTATAACAATTCATCAATTGAGAACGGCTGAACCGATTTCGCTMACTCTTTTTTTGTTTGGKTYRTAATTGCCAGGAGAAGGTTCTTACGGATGAAAAAATTGAGAAAGTTATCGGGTTAGAGAAATATGAGGGTGTGATGAAATTAAAGTGGCGCCATCTGCCCAGTAAAATAAAATAATATTAATATTTTTTGGTAGTCAAAGGCAACAATTTAAACAAACAAGTGCTCTCGAGAGCAGCTGGACTTATTTTTAGGATGGACATTTTTGTTTATTTATAAATGGTTGCTTTAGTGACAGTTATTATTAGCGGTTATTATTGTTCTGTTTTATTAGTGATGGTCACGATTATAAAGAACAGGTTATGCATCGTAAGGAATATTTTCGGTCAGATTTTGTTACAGTGGTGTAGTTCTTAAAACCGCCGAGCGCTGCAAGTCATCTGTTACATATTAACATTTTCCTATAAAAACCATGTTAAAACTAATTTTTTAATTAATAAATTAATAAACCTTTTGTTTTAATATTAGCGTTTTATTCATAGGCAATTCATAGACCTGGATTTTAGGTGTAGCCTACTGTATTTTTAGACCTCTCTTTTTTTATTTGGGCCCTACTACCAATGTATACAAACTTTGATAATATTAAATTATTTTCCATCCATCTAATTAAATTATTATTATTAACTATAATAAAATTTTTAATGGTGTTTTAAAAAAATTTTGATAAATTTTAAATTATTTAACTTATTTGTTTATTTTTTTTTTTTAGTGGTTTTACAATGTTTGAAAAATGCCGATTGCCTAGTAATTTAATAAAATGTTCTTCATAATTTTGAAATGGAAAAATATACCTAAATTCACAACAATAGAGGCCAGTTCTAAAGACTTAACTGTGGGGAGGGGGGGGGGCTAGATCCTAATTTTCTCAAATGAATAATGATTATTCGTTGACGACAAAAACTATATCTCAATAATCAGTCATGTGGTCACTTACATTAGGAACCAGGAGTTAGAAAGTGTATGTATATCATTGTTTTTTAGTATTTAAAAATATAACGTTATTCTGTGTAGTACAAAGTAAATAGGTACAGTTTTAAAAAGTACATTTATATATATTATATTTGCATATACCAATTCAAGCCCTAATGTAGTGCCAAAACTAGAGTTTATTGGATTAAATTACGAACAATTCGTTTAGAGCCCGGTTAACTAGCAGCGCCTACCTAGTGGTAAATAGCCAAACTATATCACCGTAACAATTTCTGACCGCGGTCGTACCATACAAACCTATTACCGACGCATAACCTGTTCTTTATAATCGTGGTGATGGTTATATATATTTATCTGTTAGTCCTATATACATTCTTAAACAGCTGGACCGATTGCGAYAAAATTTGGTAMAGAATTTTATTAGACATATGGGCAGAAGATATGCTAAGTTAGAAAGTGTTATGCCTAAATATCATTGAATTGAATATTTAAATTGTCAACATTATATTGAAAAAACGAAGAAAATTACATAATGATATACGAAATCGAATATCGTTTTAAGATTATAATATATTTTAACCACTATCTTTCATTATATATAAAAATATACTGCTAGCTATCATCACATGAAATGAATTTAACACACAATATGAACTATGGACCATAAAAGAGATAGGATTTTTAACGGGCTACAAAGTGCACGGGTTCAGCTAGTTTTATATAAAATGTGTATAAGCAAATTTTATAATCAAATATATGTTTTAGGTGCTGATAATGTAGACAGTAGAAGTGAAGAAATTACAGATAGTGTTAGAGATGAATTGGAAAAACTGCAACAAGAAGGAGATCCAAATAATATTGGTGAAGTTGATGGAGTCAATGCCCTTTTGGGTGATTTAGATGATGATGATGAACTCTTAGGTAAATTATCTATGCATATAGCTCATCTTTACTGTATGACTGATAATTATTAAAAATATGTTTGTTTGTAGCTGAAATGGGAGCTGACTTTAATATATTGGAATATGCTGATCCAGAACTTGACAACCTAGATTGCGGTAACAAAACTAATATTTTATATGATCTTGTTGATGATGAAGAATCCAACAAGAGTGCTCACAACAAAACAGTACCAAACGATAAGTCTTCAGTAGAAATTGAAACAAAACAACCAAAAGAAGAAGTGGATGATCTACAGAGATTAAATAGTCTGAACCATAGAAAAGAGCAAAATAGCGTAGCAGTTTTAGGAATTGAAAAGTTCGAACAAGATATTATTCATCCTCCAAAACTTGAACCTTCACAAAATGTTAACACACAAGTAATTAATATTTATGAAAAATATTTTATATAATATATTAACTTGATTTTGGATAAATAGATTGTTCAAGATAACCAAATGGGCAATGTGATGCAGAACAGAGAAAATAGTTTGAGTTTCATGTCAAATTTTTCTGGAGAAAACCAAACACCCAAAATGTCACCAATTGGACAAGGTAAAGTATTAATTTTTCTAATTTTCAATTAATTTAGAATTATTTATTGTTATTATTTCTATTTTTATTTGCAGTCACTATTCAGCAACAACAGCGACTAATTCAAATGCAGCGCACAGTTGTTCCTAATCGCATGATAGGTTCTCAGCAGATCATACAACAAGGGACAGTTCAACAAACTCGACAGTTGGCTCCACCTCCACCTTACCCAGGACCACCACCACCATACCCAGGACAACATCAGGTAAAATGTTATTTATATTATATTTTAAATTATCATTGTTATAGTGTATTGGTAGTTCAACTATCCGTTGTTATCCCTTCAGTGGTTTATCCTACTTTGCATCTAGAAATATTTTTTCGTAGACTTCCAGAAAGATAGCATGCCTTTTTTCAATCCAATATGTTTTGGCTTATTTTTGCCAATATGTGTTTACTTATTTAATTTAATAACATCATCTGTGTATGATTTGTTAACATGTATAAGTGATGTGTAATTCTATAAAGGCGGGTAAGTTGTGGATGTCGCTCTTCTGAACAGTAGGTTACAAGTGGGTTACTGTAATGGATGGAATTAAATTTGAATCCAATGATATTATATCATTGTTTACGAAAAACGATTCTGAGCGAAGACGGTTTTTCTGTCTTATATTATAGATTATTAAAAACTTTCAAATCTTAGATTTAAAAAGAAAATTTTTTATGAATTTCTAGTTTAAAATAATTTGCAAATTTTCGTGATTTTCGTGATTTTTACATAATATGTTGCCAAAATTTAAACTTTGAATGCATGTAAAAAAAAATTGTGACAATATTTTTCTTTTATTTTTCAACTGCTATTGTAAAAATATGTTAAGATCCTTGTATTAAATTTTCAAGCTTTTCTGCCTAACAAATAAATTTTTATCGATATTAATTTWAAAAAAACTAATAATGATCAAAAATTGCAAATACCTATGAATAGTTCAACTTAATTCAAAAAWTTTTGAAAATCGCATGGTGGATAGAATATACTTAAATTAACATTTGGTGAAAATTTCATGTATCTATGGTAATTTGTTTTAAAGTTACATCAAAAACCAAAATCGATTTTGTCGAAAAATGAGTGTGCGTAAAATTTCCCGTAATTTTTAGTTTGTTTTTCTCAATTATTTAGAAAAGTGTTCACTTTTGACCTTCAAAGTACCAACTAGATTCACTTTCTGATCGAACGAGCTACTGAAGTTAAAAATCGAAGCACTTTTACTGCCCCAAAACGTGATGACAGACACAAAAAAAAAAAAAAACACAAATCATGATAAAATCAATTCATTCATCGCTCCGCTCAGAATCTAAAATTAAGGGAAKAAAAAATATATTATTTGATTTTGGGTGAAATATTTCTTATTTTTGTGTTTGATAATATATATAATACATGACAATTTGGGAATTCACTAACAAATGTGGCCCCCCTTCAGGTCCGTATGAGGGCTTCTTTGCCACACAGTGACATGGTACTACCACACAGTCTTATGGGCGTCCAAATGCAGAGAAGACCATTGTTGCTTCAGGTAAATAGAAGAATTGAGATGGATGATATGTCGTGAAATTAAATATTGTGAAATAAAAATGAACTTACTTACATTGAATAAATAAAGCTAATAATAATCACGTGCACTACACAGTGTTTTAGATGTGTTGTAATTTATAATACACAATTTCTACCAAATGTAAATTTAACTTTGTGTTGACTCAAAATACAAAAAAAATTAATTTTTTTTTTTTTGTTACAAAGTTCAAATGTTTTTAATAATAATTATTCCAACTAAAAATTATGTTTAATTTTAATTAGAAGTTAAGAAGTTAAAAAATTGTTTAAAGATTAATTAATCAAATAACACATATATTATATTGGACTAACCAATTACTATTTACTCCTATATTTTTTTTTAGCTTAGATAAAAAGAGTTTAGTAGTAATCTTAAGCGAATCCCATATTGTAGGGACTAATTATCAACATTTACTTTTAATGTTGATAATGTCATGAATAATTTAATATACCGTATAAATCAAAATTATAAATTTATGTTAACAAAATAAGAACTTATAACAAAATCTAATAATAAAAAAAAATTTTAACTGATATTTTGTGTTGAGAAGACGAGGTTAGTTGATTTATGTTTATAAAAAGTATGACAGTATAATCCAGACATTTTTATCTGCTATCTAACTTTTTAGAAAAAGTTATATTGAAACCAACTAAAATTTATAGTAATATACTGTTCTATTGGAATTATACAAAATATTAAATAATCAAAACAAAATGGTAATTTTAACTAATTGATATGATTGATTATTATTATTATTATTATTATTTTTTTTTTTTGAGTCAAAACATTGTTAGTACATTTTATTTATTTAGTTATATATTTTGATTTATTTAACTCACTAAATTTGGCACTAATTAGTATTATAATATTATTATTTCTTAGTTATTATAAAAATAATTTTAGCTGTACAAGATAGAATTGAAAAGATTTTAAATTCACATTGAAGAATTAAATCTATGAATTAAATAAAAAGTTTATTATGATCTAATTGATTTCATAATATAATAACATAATTTCCATAATCTGTTCAACAGTTGGTTTTCTGTGTATTTAATTTAAAGGAAAACTTTAGAGTATAAGTTTAATAATAATCAGCCCCATATAGGAAGTAATTTAATTGGTTTACCCAAGTATGAATAAAAAAACCTTTTGCTGTTGAGAGGATGTCAGCGCACTATTGATTTGTGGTTTTTCTCTGACCCACTATCAACATAGCAACATTTATGTTGATCAGAACTAGAACTGTGTTTTTACTTTTAATATTAGGGTGAAATAATCTATTTTCAAGTTTTAAGCTAAGATTAACCTTTATCCCTATGTTTGCTTTTTTACAATATTTTAATTTGTATAAAATGTATAAGCAGTTTTAAATTATAATAATTAACATGCTCATAACTTAAATAGTAATAAAATATATCATAAAATAATCAATATAAGAAATATGCCTAAGTAATTTTCTTAATTTAAAATTTGAACTTAGTTGAATTCACTTGAATATTAAAAGTAATAACACTGTATTGGTTCTGATAGACGCCTAGGTAGACATAAATTTGATATGTCGCAAATATTGAAACACATAGGTCAAAGAAAAAACAAATAGTGCGCTTGCATTCCAATATAGATATTTGAATTCTTTAACTTTGCAATATATTTGTTGATATTTTTTAAGGTAATATTGTACAGTTATTAATAATTATCAAGCAATATTATAAATATAATTTAGATTAGGTTTTAAAATGTTAGTTAGTGTTTCTAGATTTTAAACGATTAATCACTTTTTAATTAGTTCTTATAATTATTTAAATATTCATTGCTGTCTGAAAACTAGTTTAAATATTTTTAAGTAAAGAATGAGGTGAAAAATAAGACGGCTTATATCATTATATTTGTTGAAATTTCCAATTTTTATAACTTGGTTTATCTTAAAGTAGTTGTCTATTTATTTAAAGGTACTTGATTACATTGCTTCACATTTTCTTTGGTTATTTTTTATCACAATTTGCACACAACATKTGTTAAAAATCTAATCTAATAATTGTATAATTATTCCATATCCGTAACTATAATATTTTTGATTACTTTAAAAAGTGTTATTACTTATTAGAAATAAAATACTGTATAACTATTAACTTTCTGCTTTTCTTAAAATTTAATAACTAAATAAAAATGTTTTTAGACAATTATATTATTTTTTGTTAAATTATGGTATATTATTCAATAAAATATCAAAAATTTTATTTTTAACCAAACTTAAGTTCTTGCTATTAATTTTCATGTTAAATTCTTAATCATATTTTAAATATACATCTTTCTATTTTGTTTTGGTATGTTAATTACTAACTAGTAATTACATTTTATTTATTGAGGTAGTATTTACCTTTGCAGTAAGATGTAAATATATATATGTACTATAAAGTGTTTATACATACAATTTGTTTTACTCTTTACATATTTTCATGCAAAATCAAAATTTTTTTTATTACTAGTTAATAATTAAGTGTTTTTTTGTTTTGTTAATTTTGATAAATTAYCATTTCTTTTTTTAAATATCTTCATAATTTTAGCATGCTTTGCAACTAGATATTATTTCTTGTTAATATATAGCATGTATAGTTCAACAGTGTGTTTCAGTTAGCACTGCTTATAAACGTTAGAAATAATTAGTCTCCATTGTAGAATAATGTAAATTGCAAGCTTACGATGTCATTGATGAATATTAATAAAAATAATATTTTTCAGGAACAGCCCTTATTATTAGAAGATCTTTTAGAACAAGAAAAACGAGAACAAGAAAAACGACAAAATGTTGATACATCAAGTGTTAATAGTAATGTTTCATCTACGGGTTCTTCACTCCCTGCTCTATTGAGCGATGCTGATTTTGAACTTCTGCGAGCAGATGTTATGAATTCCTCTGCTAGTGGTACTGCTATTGCTTCACCGCCTATAATTCAACAAAGTAATTTTATTTTTCATATATTTATATATGTTTGAATTATTGCTATTTTATTAATCTTTAAAAATTTGTTTAGGTGGTACAGGAGTTGTACAACAACAAGTCAGTGATCAAATACATATGCAAAGACCTACGTTTTTGCAAAGATCCACATCTCAGCCAGTACAAAATTGGTCACAACCTCAGCAACTACCTAGTCAATCTCCAGCAAGACAACAATTTACTGATTCATGTTAGTTAATTTTTGTTTTTTAAAGTTTGTTTAATATTAAAGTATATTTATATTTTATAGCTATAAAAGTTCCAATTTTTAATGCTCCGGTATTAACACCACCAGCACAACCACCTGAAGTTATAGCTACTGAACAAGATCGTCAAACTCAACATGCGTATGAAGTATGGCTTAATGAACAAAGTAACAATATAACTAAGCAGTTGAAATATTATGAAAGCGAAGTTCAGAAATTAAGAAAAATGAGAAAGAGCATGAATAGTAAACAACGTGTTGCTAGAAAACAAGGTAATGAACTATCAGAACACGACTCAATAGAATTTCAACGCGTTACTACAGAACAGCAAGCTGTTCAAAAATTATTGGATTCAAGTCGTAAGCAAAATAAACAGCATATGGCTATTATACAGGTATTATTATAAATACAATGGTAAACTTTAATTTGAATTAATAATAATGATAGTAATAATAATATGTATGACTATTGACTAGGAGTACAAAAATAAACATCGTCCAGCAACTGCAGAAAGTCCTCAGTCTCCAAGTGTAATGATGTCTCCAAATTCGACTGTTGGATCTATTCAACATCAACAAAACTCAATGTCTCCACACAATAGTATTTCCACTCCTTTATCTCAAGTATGTTATGAAATAATATTTATTTTTTTATGTCTTAAATTATTTTTTTTTTGTTCTTATAGACTGAAGAAAACCCGTTTAGTCCAAACCAACAGTCCCCATTACCATCACCTAGATCTAATCTGACCTCACCTCAGCTGCGTAATCCTGGTCAATCGAGTCCACGGCAAGTGATTATAAATCCAAACACTCAAGACCAACTAACAAGGTTTGTAGTATGATATAATGATATTTGCCTTAAATTAATAAAAAAAAATTGATTACTATACATACTTTTCATATTTAATTTATACAGACATGTGATAAAAATTCTTATCTAGTCATTGGGGAAATAGGTTTATTTCATTATTTATTTTGATTTTGAGTTTAATTTAAATTTTTTTAATTTTGATTTTGCACAAATACTATTAGAATTTCATTACTTTCTTGATTTTATGAATAATACAAAAAAAAAAAAAAATTATATCAACACTATACTATGAGCTCGACTATGAGTAATTTTATTCATGGAACTATATGTTTTAAAAAAAAATATTTATCTCATATTTTTTGAAAATTTTGGTGATAATACTATATTCTACAAATAGATCTTATATTTAGATAAATTATATTTATGTTTTGCCTCCATCATATAATGATTTTAATGAAAATTTTCATGTTTTTTTTGGAATCTCTTAAAGTCTAGAACAATGCTTTTCAAGTTCTAAATACCGTTAATAAATCATAGAATTAAAAAAATGCAACTTGTTCAAAAATGGCTGTAATACCTTAATAAAGTCGTGTCTTGATAACTTGAATGTCAAAGGGAATAAAAATTAATTAGAGTTATTTATCTCAGACACAACTTAAAAACAATTCAAGGGTCAGAAAAAAATTTAAGTCATCGAGACTTAACTGTATAAAGAATTTCTCTTTTTTATTATTTAAATATGACAAAAAACTAATTTTTAAAAATCATTATACCTTTTTAAAGGCATACAGGAATGACTCCTATAAGATTTGTACGTTCACCAGATGGCTTAACATTAAGAGCACGTCCAACACTTGTGTCTCTTCAGAGTCATATGCCATCTGTTAACACTTCCAACACATATCAAGGTGCAAAGATAACAAATGTCACAATTAGCCAAGGATCCCAAATTCAACAACCTCAGCAGATTCAACGATTAACATTCCAACAATTAACTCCTCAACAGCAACAGTTGCTTTTACAGAGGAAGCTCACCCAAAAAGCCATACTTATATCTCAGCAACAACAAGAATTAAATAATTCTGCCAATCAAGACCCTCTAGCAGTCCAACAACGACAAATGCAATTAGCTCAACATAGACAAATGTTATTACAGCAAATTGATCAAATTCAAAAACAAATGAATGATGGGCAGAATCAGCAACAAAGACAAATACTTGTTCAGCAAGCTGTTCCTGGAAATCAAGATAGTAAAGCAGAACTGTCTTCTCAACAAAGACAGCAAATAGTTATTCAAAGACAAAACATAATATTACAACAGCAACAACAGTTTCAACAGTTACAACAACAAAATGTTCCTCAACAACAACAACAAATTTTGCAACCACAGAATAATCAGAATCAACTTCAATTACAATCTCAAAACAATCAAAATACAATACAAGTACAACAGCAACAACAGCAACAGCAGCAGCAGCAGCAGCAACAACAGCAACAACAGCAGCAGCAACAACAACAGCAGCAACAGCAACAACAACAACAGCAGCAGCAACAACAACAGCAGCAGCAGCAACAACAACAACAGCAGCAGCAGCAACAGCAACAAAATACTGGACAAACTAATATGACCCAACAGCAAAAATTATTTCAACATCAACAATTACAGTTACAGATAGCTAAGCAGCAGCATATCATGGCACAGCATAATGCTCAAATTCAACAAAAACTAGTTCAACGTTCACCCCAGCAACAAAATGTAATCCAGTCTCAACTTTCTCCTCAGCAACAACAATCAGTATTGTTACAGCAAACTATTAAACAAGAACCCGGAGAAATTGTTAATCCAAATATTATTCGCCAACAACAGCAACAGCAACAGCAAATTTTATTACAGCGCCAGCAACAAACAAGATTTCTACAACAACAACTTATATCACAAGGCAAAGTCACTAGACAAATGGTTCAATCCCAACAACAGTCTCCAATTCCTCCTCAAAGTCCAAATCAACCACCCTTATCTCCAATGCCTCCACAAAGTCCTATCTCCAACAATCAACAATACTGTCAACCAAGTAGTCCAATGATATCAACTCAGTCTCCAATACTATCACAGAGTCCTCAGCAATTTTCACAACCAGGGCAATCACCTAACCCAGTTCAATTTACTCCTAATTCACCAATGCCTTCTCAAAGCCCTAGGCAAACTCAATTTGTACAACCAACATCACCATTAATGCCTCAAAGTCCTATGGTACAAGGATATACTCATCCCCCAGCAACCTCACCGTTTGGACAACCTCCCAGCTCACCAAGTCCCAGACCGTCTCAGAGTCCGAGAAATAGCTTAGGCCCTCCAAGTTCTCCAATGAGTCCTATGCAGCAAAACCCATATATCAGACCAACAACGAGTCCTATGCCTGCTAGACGACCAAATGTCGGCAGTAGTCCATTAATGCCAGATCAACAAGAAAACAGGGAAGAAAATAATGTACCACCAGAAGGATATCAGTATGCAAAATTAGGACTTCGCGGAGGCAGGCATTATTGCTTACCTCCTAAAGGATTTAAGTACACAAAATTAGGTCTTAAGGGTGGAGCACCTATGTGGAGTACTGGGAGGCAATTTGTTAGTAAAGATGCTCAAGATGAGGTAAAAAGAAGTGTATTCAAAAGTAATGACATGCCACTAAGTGCAATACCAGTATCTAAAGTTTCATCATTAGTATCATTGGAGTATGGAGATTCAGATGATGAGGGTTCAAGAACACCTCCTGTACCTTCGCCACAACCACCTCCGATCCAAATATCCAAACAAAAAGAAGCTCCAGAAGGAATTAATACAGATCCAATGATTATTTCCACTTCTCCTAAAAATGAAGATAGTCGAAATTTACCGGTTTACAAAGACGTAAATTTATCAGAAAATTGTAAAAAAGATGGCATTGAAGAATTAGATGATTTACAAATGATTTCAACTATACACAATATAAACATAGATCCTGGCCAGATATCATTAAATTCTAGTAGAGTTGGGGAAGAATTATTAGATATGGATAGAGAAATTAATTCACCTAGTCTGATGTTGAATGAAAATGATGATAGTATTCTTGGTGGTCTTCCAAAAGACGAAGCCTCCGAAATGGATAGACTAATGTTTTTTGATGAACTTGGTGATAGCATAAAATGTGATCAGGAGGAAAAAAGTGGATCACCGGAGAAATCTGTTTTCAATCTGGACAAACTATTAAATGATCCAGAACCACATATAGAACAAAAAGAAGAGTTTAAACCTGAGGTTATTCAACAAGAAAACAATTTAGTAGAATTAAGCCAASATAACGAAGAAGAAAATATTGATAATGTTATTCAAAGCTATTCATTTCATTCTTATGCAAAAGTTCCGAAACCAGCGCCATCACCCAAAAAAGAAAATCGTTTGGTATCTATTTTGAAAACCGATCAATCAGATGACCTAAAAAAAGTGACTAGTCTACTTCGATCTCATCCATCTACCCAAAGTAAAAATATCATTATTTTAAACCCTTCATCAGATACATTAAAAGATCAACAAGTTAAACAAAATTTACTATTAGCAAAGGCAGACAACCTTATGCATTCAGATTTAGCTCAAATCTTAAGTAATATAATGTCTCCCAAACAAAAAGATAGTTTCATTAAAATTGAAACATCAAAATCAGATGAGCACACAAAACTTTCAACTATAGTCTTACCAGCCCGTACAACATCAGTTGTGCAGAATCCTCCAAAATATACTTGGGATCCATCAGCAGCATTTACTACTGCATCTTCGACTTCATATGCTAAATCAATTCAAATAATATCAAGAGCTGAAGATAAAGAACTAAAAAACACCTCTCAATTATCATGTATGATAAATATACCCAAGCAAGAACCACGCACACCTAAGGTTATTGAGGAATCTCAGAATGTATTACTTAAACAACTTCTTCAAAACACTGCATGTGCTAATCAAACTCCAACTACTACAACTGCTCTAAGTTTGCCAATTATACCTTCTCTCGAAGCTCAACTTGCAAGGCCTGTTTCACCTACACCACCTTTATTATTTCCTTCGTTACTTTCACCAAAAAAAGATGATAAATTTGAATCTCAACATCAATTACTAAAACCTTTAAAATTAGATATTGAACCTATGGTACAAAGACCAGAGTCTCAACTTCAGGTGCTTCAAAAGCCCGAACCTCTAGTTCAGGTACAAAAATCTGAACCAAAATCTCAAGTTCTAAAACTTGAGCCACAGTCTTCTCCTAAACCTGTAGTTATTCTACAGCGGTCTGATATCCAAACACCAGTTACCCAAAATTCACCTACACCAACACCAACACCAACACCACCACCACCACCACCACCACCACCACAACCTTCACAACCTCAACCATCTTTGCTGCAAGTACAACCAGAATCACAGCTACAACCACAACTTCAACAACAGCTACAACCACAGTCTCAAACACAATCAACTCGACAAATAGCTTCAACTGATTCAATAATGGAGTCTATTAACTCAGCAATTAAACAAGAGCGTTTGAAAGAAGAAAGTAAAAATGAAGTTCAGTTGCCTGTAACTACATCGGCTGGATTTAGCCCTGAAAGAGAAGTAAAAAGAGAAATCATGTCATCTGATGAATTAATATCACCTCAAAATTCTACTAGAATAGTAGATCCAGCAGATATGAATAATTCAATACACATGTCAATAGACATGAATGCTGATACTCAAGGTATAGTTTTTCATAGTGTACACAATTAAATTTGGTCCTGATTCTAAATTTATTTTATTTTAGACCAAAAGAAAAATAAACGCAGGCAGTATTATGCTAAACGGAGGCAAAGTCAAGGTAAAGATGTAAGTTCTACAGTCATACCAAAAAAACGGCATCGAAAGGTAAAATACATATTTCAAACTTAGTTTTCATGTTTTTATATCTTTATTATATTATTGAATTATTATTATTATTATAGGGTTCTAAACCGGAAGAAGATTATGATTCTTTCATTGATGCACTTATGTCACAGTTACGACAGCTTCAGCCAATGAGTGTTATTGAACCATCTTTAAACCAAAATTTAACAGCTTGTCCATTGTTTGGCCTAGGAGATGTATTATCTCAACAAAAGTATGTAAAAAATATAAAAAACAAAATTGATGTGTTGTATGTATTCTATTTTAATCAGTTCAGTCTTAAAAGAATATTGTAATTTTTTTAGTTTTAAAAGCGGTGACTTAAAAGGTAAAGTCGGTTCATGTAATCTACCAGGTGAGAGTGATTATTACAACACAAAACCTTTTGGTGATTTGGAACCTGTCTCGCCATTACCTCAACCATCCACTCAAAGAGGTTTTTACAATGAAGAGTTTGACCCTCTAAAATTTGAATCTGATAGTATGTGTGATAATAAACATAATATTTGTTATGTATATTATTATTATATTTCTTATTCATGTTATAAATAAATATTTTAGATGATGAAAAGAAGTTTGATATCGGACGTGACCGTGATGATACTCCAGACACTGTAATGAGCTCTTCTTCACCAGAATTGGCAGTATGTCGAACTCCAACCCATTTCCCTGGTATTTTTTCATTTTTTTTTTTTTTTATATTTCAATTTCTTGAATTCAAGTAACTAATTCTAATGTTCACAGGGCTTAAAAATTATGATGATGACAGCGATTCTACAGATACATTGTTAAATTTCACCCGATACATGTCTCCAGTTCATCAACTTGTTGCCCCACTAGCTTTGAAACCTCGCCCCAGCTATAAAATCAATACAGAAGAAGACAAAGAAAATCAAGGCACGAGACAAGGAATGTTATCTCAAGTTGGTAAAACACCTCCACGAAGTTCGCCTGCATTACCATTACGGGATTCCAATACAATGACTGTTACATTAACTATAACTTCAGATGCAGCTGAAGATATTATGGGGGTCCTTCAAGGCTTAGCTAATTTACTCGATTTACCTGATATTCCTAATTATAAAGTTACTGAAAAAACTGTTACACCAATGTCGCATAAATTAGGACTGTACAGATCTAAAACCAAAGATGGAAAAGAAGGAGCTCCAATAGATATTCAAACTATATTAAATGGCTTTGCTAAATTTTGTCGTCATTGTGATTTAGTTATTTTAAATAACTTAGTAAAAAAGAAAGCAAGTGAAATTCCCTTCTTAACTGTTGAAGATTGTGCAGATGAAATATTTTTCTGTAGTACGATGTGCTTTCAAACTTTTGCTTCACTTTTACGTCCACCAGCTGAATCTAAAGATAAAGCAACAACCAATGTTAATCATTTATCTGAAAGTTCACCGCCAAAGCGTTTGAAAGTAGACCCAGAAACTAGTCCAGTATCTAAAGAAACTGATGTTATTGAAAAAATGGTAAGTGTATTTATATTTTTTTTTAATCTCTTGTTAACAATGAATTATACCCTTGCTATTTTATTTTATTATTAGGACATTGATGACACTTCACAAAACATAGAGGAAACAAAACCTGAACCGACTGTTGAAGAAGCAAAAACTTTGAATAAGAGTAATATTTACCGATATTGGAATACAAACAGTGTTCCAGCTCCGCTCACTAAGCATAAAAAATCTACTGATAAAGATCTAATGGAGGTATTTTTAATTTTTTTTATTGTGTATTGATAATCTTTTGATAATTTTTTCGTTTTTAAAGATGTTGTTTCGTATGGGAATCACTGTTACATCACCAAAATTACCAGAAGACAAACGTTTGTGTTTGTTTTGTCATCAGTTTGGTGATGGTGTTTCAGATGGTCCCTCTAGGTATGTATAATTAATATTTTATTTTGTAGTTCAACTTGTAGATTAATTTTTGAATTAATATCAATTAGCAAATATTTCTTTTATGTATTTATTAGATTATTAAACTTTGATGTTGATAAATGGGTACATTTAAACTGTGCGTTATKGTCAGAAGATGTTTATGAAACTGTTAATGGAGCTCTGATGAAAGTTGACATTGCATTACGGCAATCTCTCAGTGTGGAATGTATAGTATGCCAGAGGCCTGGTGCAACACTCAAATGTTACAAGCTAAGATGTTCCACTAATTATCATTTACCATGTGCTGTCAAAGACGACGCTGTGTTCTATAAAAATAAGACTTTGTACTGCAGCGGCCATGCTCCAAAGAGTGACAAGGAAAATGAGCTAACCACATTGTCTGTACATCGACGTGTTTACATTAATAGAGATGAGAATCGACAAGTTGCTGCTGTTATGCATCATTCAAGTTCTCATCAGTTTCTGTTGCGTGTTGGTAGCCTTACACTTCTCAATATAGGTCAATTATTGCCTCATCAATTGGCTGCATTTCATACTCCAACTTCTATTTATCCAATTGGATTTAAAGTGGTAAATTTTATTTATGAATTTTTAGTCATTACAGAAGTTACTAAACTAAATATATTTTTTAAGGTCCGTTTGTTTTGGAGTATGCGAGTACCTAACAAGCGTTGTAAATATATTTGTTCTATTCATGAAGTAAATGCACGGCCTGAGTTTAGAATTATTGTACAAGAAGTGGATAATGAAGATCTAGAGCTTAAAGATTCTAGTCCAAGAGCAGTTTGGTCAAAAGTTTTATCGGCTATTGCTAGTTTGAGAACTACAAACAACTTGTTAAAATTACATCCACAGCATGTGAGTGGTGACAGTTTATTTGGACTAACTGAACCAGCCATTGTCCGTGTCTTGGAGAGTTTACCTGGTAAGTATTGTTTGTGATAAATATGTGAGGAGAAAAAAATGACAAAATCAAAATAGTCAAATTATTATTAATGCTGATGAAGTATTCTTTCAATTTGGGGATATTTATTTTAAACCGTTTTGAAATTTATACAGGTATCGAGACTCAATCTGATTACCGTTTCCGTTATGGTCGTAATCCTCTTCTAGAACTTCCTTTAGCTATCAACCCTAGTGGATGTGCTCGTTGTGAGGGACGTAGACGATTAGTTCTTCCTGGGAAGTTACGATCACACATACCTAGATCATTTACATCATCTCATGGTTCATCATTATTGAGTCAGCTAGATTTATCAGCTCCCCCTACTTGTCCTTATTCTAAACATTTTGTTCATTCTAAATCCTCGCAATATAAAAAAATGAAACAGGAATGGAGGAACAATGTGTACTTAGCCAGGTAAATTAAAATAATGCTAATGAATTATTATAATATTTCTTAATATTTCTTATTAGTGCACTAATTATAATTAACTTCCTATTAGGTCTAAAATTCAAGGTTTGGGACTGTATGCTGCTAGAGATTTAGAAAAGCATACTATGGTTATTGAATACATTGGAGAAATTATCAGATCACAGTTGTGTGATTACAGAGAGAAACTTTATGAGGCTAAGGTAATGCTCTCTAAATTATTTCTATTTAAATTATACAGACTAATTTGTATGTTCCTATTATAGAATCGCGGTATATACATGTTCCGTCTGGATGATGATCGGGTGGTCGATGCTACTATAAGTGGAGGTCTAGCTCGTTATATTAATCACTCGTGTAATCCTAACTGTGTTACCGAAAAAGTGGAAGTAGACAGAGAGCTTCGAATTATAATATTTGCTAAGCGAAGGATTGCCAGAGGGGAAGAGGTAAATTTAAAAGAACAATTTTTTAATATTTTAGATTTTGGATTTTTACTGTTTATTAAAAATTATGAAATTAACCAACGATTATTTAAATGTATGGCATGCTAGCTTGCGTATGACTACCAGTTTGATATTGAAGATGATCAACACAAGATTCCATGCAACTGTGGTGCTCCCAACTGTCGCAAATGGATGAACTGATACAGTTGTAGCCATATAAGTATTTTTACCATTTTTATAAATTTTTAATTTACTTTTAACAATTGTCGTGTCAGACAAGATAATTTATAATAATAATATTAATAATTGTTATGTTGCCCATATTAAACTGTACACAATTTCTGTGATAGGATCAAATTTTACACATAATATATATTATTTATATATTAAATATATTTATAAATATATATTAGCACGTAACTAAATAAAAACTAATGTAAATAATTGTGCACAGTAGATAACAGCACACTATTTTTGTAATTATTTTTAAAGTAATATTTGAGTATGATGTGTAAATTTATTTACCATATAAAATTATTGTATGATAATATATATTAATTGTAAATTATCGTTAGGACAAAAACAACAACAAACAATATGATCTCTTTGCATGAGATAAGACTTGATATCGTAAGTTTCTGTTGGTGTTTGTAAAAAAAAAAAAATGTAACAAAAAAAAAATAATAATAATTATAAAGAAACGAAACAATAATTTGGGTGATGGTGTAGCTGAAATAATATAAAAAAAATTAAAAGAAATTGAGTGGGCATTTTGTTTACTTTTTGTTTTTGGTTGACTTACATGGTTTTTGTCAATTCTTATACATTTATTTTTATTATTATTWTTTTTTTTTTTTTTTTGTTATAAATTGATGATAGCCTACTACTGTTGTTATATTTTTTTTTATTTATTCTTCAAATATTTATTTTCTTTAATATTTTAATTTTATTTGTTTGTTTTTTGTGTCCAAAAAATTTGATTTAATTTAATGCAATATTGATCTACAATATATATATATATATATACATATAATAATAATATTTATACCATTATTTTTCTACTTAATGACAAAATTGGACCAATATTTTCGAAAACTTGTTAAAACTTTTGTGCATTGATTGTATAAAAATATATATATTGATTGTGTGTGACAGATATATATTTAGATACAAAATTGATACTTATAAAATATTTTCTGTTTTTAAACCCTATGATTTAATTGTATACATTTTGGCGTATTTTAGATAATTTTCATTTTGTTACGAGTTGAACCAAAATATTATTTCAATAAGTTTATCTCGACTAATTACCCATTAGATATTATATAATTATATTCAATTTATTAGATACGGTTATTAACTTTAAGTATGAATTATTAATTGAATTGTCACCAACAACTCAATGTTTTGAATTTGAGTTGTATAAAATAAATGATAAAAATTGGCGAATTAATTATATAAATTGTATGCATTATGTTGTTCCTACACAGTACATCCCATGAGAAAAATTGTTTTACTGGACAATAGGTACACATTATATACTGCGAAGCAAATTCTGTTAGCATGATAAATCTAAAAATATAAAAAGCGGACAAGTGGATGTCGCTCTGCTGTACATTAAGTGGTGGGGTGGAACTCTGACTAGGGTAGGTTAGATTTGAATGCAATGGTAGGTATCATTGTATACGAAAAACGATTCTGAACGGAGATGATTTGTCAGTCTAGGATATATTATAGATAATTAAAAATTTTCAAATCTTTGATTTAAAAAGAAAATTTTGTATAAATTTCTAGCTTAAAATAATTTGCGAATTTTCGTAATTTATACGTATTTAGTCAATATTTGAACTTCAAATGTTAATAAAAAAAATTGTGCGTACGTATATTTTTATAATTTTTTAATTACTATAAGAATAACTTATAAGGAACATTGTATTCAATTTTCAAGTATTTTGATAGGGCCGAAAAAATTTTATCAACCCTTCAAAACAATTTTTCAGAAAAATTGAAAATTTCAGTTGTCTAATAATATCTCAAAAAAAGTCATAATATTTTTAAAATTAAATCATGTAAAGAAAATGCCAATCTAAATAACTGATAAAATTTTCACG